AAAGAAAGAGGGAGAGAGAGAAAGGGGGAGAGAGAGAGAAAGAGGGAGAGAGAGAAAGAGGGAGAGAGAGAAAGAGAGAGAGAGAAAGAAAGAGGGAGAGAGAGAAAGGGGGAGAGAGAGAGAAAGAGGGAGAGAGAGAAAGAGGGAGAGAGAGAAAGAGAGAGAGAGAAAGAAAGAAAGAGAGAGAGACAACAGAGACAGAGAGAGAGAGAAAGAGAGAGAGAGATCAGCTGCCAATTCTTGTAGTCAAGCAAGGGGTGGGAAGAATTAAGGAAAAAATAAATTGCTTCAAGAGGAATCAGCCGTTGGGTGGAAAAGGAAAAAAAATAAGAATAGCTGTTTATTTTCCTTCAAGGCTTTTAAACTTCAAGGCTTTTAAAGGGGGGGGGGGTTCCCATCCCGCTTATGTCAGGATCCGCACCCGTGTGCCCAGCGCCAAAGTAAACATGGGGAGGTTTTGGGCTGCACTTAAGAGGTAGGGGAAGGGGGGGGCAGAAGGGATCTTCCCAAGTTAATGGGGGTCCATGGAGCCCCTCTTCCAAGAACTGGGGAGGAATTCAGCCCCCCAAAACACAGAAGCCATCACAAGCCCCTGGCATCTTTTAAAAAGATTGAGCCAAATGTAAAGCATTTGGGTTTTGGGTGGGAAGTCTGCATTCCTAAATTTAAGGGACAACGGCAACCTCCTTGGGGACGATGGGAGATGTAGTCCAAGAGCTCTGGAATTGCCCCGGTTGGAGGAAACGCTTCTCATAAGAGACACCCCCAATTTCAACCTGGGTCTAATCTTAACGCCCAACTCTTTGGCAGCAATTTCTTTGCAGATCTGGTAGGTCCCCTTTGGGCTTCTCCTTTGGAGTTCCCCCTGACTACAACTCCCATCGCCCCCAGCCAGTTGGTTTTCTGCACAGTCTTAAGCAAAGCAAACAAGAAAGGTGGATATTGGGGGGAAGGCTGGGGGTCGGGTTCTCACCCCCTCCTGAGCTAAAGCGAGAGCAACTGGCTGCAATACTCCACAGTATCCCCAGGTGGCAGTAGAAAGCACCTTCGCGGCCACCTACAGGGCTTCTGGAGTACTGCAAGTCCAGCTTCTGATGCCCGGAAAGATTGTGGGCATCTTCAGAGGCTAGCAACAACCTCCACCATGGCAACAGACACAGATCTGCTCTATCCACACGTGCACCGGACTGCCCCTTTTTTGTATACTTGTATACACACGTGTGTACAAATACACACATCGGGGCTCCACCCTTAATTTGCAAGCACACTGCAGAGTGAAGTTATTTTTCCACGTCTATATTGGTCAGAATAACCCAGAGGGCAGGTCCTTAGACACCCCCTCCCCAATTCGGAGCACGTGTGCAAAGACCAGCTCTGATCCACACCAGTGGTCAATCCGAATCCCGCGGCCATAGGATTCCAACAACCCCCCCCCCCTGTGCAGCCTCTCCAGCCCGTCCACGGCGACACGCGTGTTTGCGCTCTCCCTAAGGCACCAACCCCCGTCTGCGCAGCTTCTCCGGCGCCTCCTCCCCGGACACGCGTGTCTGCATCCTCCCGAGTGCACCAAACCCCGCCTGCTGTGCAGTCTCTGCAAGCCCATTCACGCGTGTCTGCACCTTTCCGCGTGCACTAAACCTCCCCCCCCGGAGGGCTGGGGCGCTTCTCCAGCCCACTTTCCGCGACACGCGTGTCTCCGCCCTCCCTACGGCACCGACGCCCGTGTCTGCACAGTCTCTCCAGCAGGCTAGCCACGGCGACACGCGCGTCTGCGCCTTCCCGCGTGCATAACCCAATTAGCCTGCACCAGCCCACCTCCCCTGACACGCGTGTCGGCGCCCTCCCGACTGCCCTAAGTTTGACCAGTCTCTCCGCCACCAGGCTAGCCTCGGGCGACACGCGCGTCTGCGCTCCCGCGTGCACCAGCTAGCCGCCCGCGCAGCCTCTCCAGCCCAGTCCCGCCGACACGCGTGTCTGCGCCTTCTCACGTGCGCCTTTGTACCTGCTGCGCTGGGGCAGGAGCAGCATCTTGAGCAGCGGGTGGGTGTAAAGCCAGAGGCCGCGGCGGGCCAGGCTCAGGACCCGCACACGGGGCTCCAGGATCCGCAGCTCCATGGCGCAGCCAGCAAGGCCGGCGCTCTGCCCCAGCGCTGGGCTTTACGCAAGCCGGGCCCGCGGCGCCGCCTCCTTCCCCAGGCCCGGCCCGGCCCACGGGGTGGGGAACGCCGGCCCCGAACCACCCCCGGCCCGCCTTCGCCTTCGCCTTGGCTTGGGGCGCCTCTGGAGCTCGTGCAGAGCGCTTGGGCAACGGCGGGCGCCTTGGAGAGAGCGGCCCAGGCGCGCCTCGGGGGCTCCCTTGGCTTTCCTTTCGCGGGTGCTGAAAGAGAGCAGCCGGGCGTTCACACGACCCCTTCAGCCGCCTTGGGGGTTTCGTGGATTGATGGCTAAGTAGGTCGGGTGCAGCCGCCCTTCGCCTGGAACTTTAAGCTCCTTCCTTCCTTCCATCATCATCTTCCTTCCTTCCTCCCTCCCTCCCTCCCTCCCTCCAACTTTCCTTCCTTCCATCCATCATCTTCCTCCCTCCCTCCCTCCCTCCAATTTTCCTTTCTTCCATCATCTTCCTTCCTTCCTTCTCTCCCTATCAGCTTCCTTCTTTCCATCACCTTCCTTCCTCCCTCCCTCCAACTTTCCTTCCTTCTTTCCTTCCTTCCATCATCATCTTCCTCCCTCCCTCCAATTTTCCTTTCTTCCATCTTCCTTCCTTCTCTCCCTATCATCTTCCTTCTTTCCATCACCTTCCTTCCTCCCTCCCTCCAACTTTCCTTCCTTCTTTCCTTCCTTCCATCATCATCTTCCTCCCTCCCTCCAATTTTCCTTTCTTCCATCTTCCTTCCTTCTCTCCCTATCATCTTCCTTCTTTCCATCACCTTCCTTCCTCCCTCCCTCCAACTTTCCTTCCTTCTTTCCTTCCTTCCATCATCATCTTCCTCCCTCCCTCCAATTTTC